GTGAACCCCGAGCAATCCACTTAAGTGGTGTGCGCACCTAGCTCTCCATCTAAGTGCGAGTTCACTCGCACTTGTGGTGTGAACCCCGAGCAATCAACGTAAGTGAGAGTTCACTCGCACTTTGCTTCAACTTGACCTTTAGAAAAACAACAGGCAACTTGCAATTGTTTCCCTCCGTCCATCCCTCCGACTTTCATAATATTGATCTTGCAAGTGTTTCGATCTCTCATCTTCATGTCAGGGGATGCATGGATGTTTTCGATGAAAAAATGCTCATGTCAAGGAGGGGATCGATATTTGCAGTGACAAGAATGACTATTATGAATCTATGTTATGGATTTGTCCATGCAAAGATTTGATGACATTCTCATCTTGAAATATACAATTGACAAGCCAGCATCCATATTAAATCACCACGCTGATGGTGTGCGCACCTAGCTCTCCATCTACGTGCGAGTTCATTCGCACTTGTGGTGTGAACCCCGAGCAATTCCCTCGCACTTTGCTTCAACTTGACCTTTAGAAAAACAACAGGCAACCTGCAAATGTTTCCCTCTCTCCATCTCTCCCGACTTTCATAATAGTGACCTTGCAAATGTTTCGATTTCTCATCTTCATGTCATGGGATGCATGAATATTTTCGATAAAAAGAAGCTCATGTCAAGGAGGGGATCGAACGCACTGCCGGTAAGCACCTGCACATCGCGAAGCAAGAGCACGTCCCAATTGGAACATTGTCGGGTTCTTGCGTTGTCGACTCCCACATGATGATTACACTAAACCGCGGCAGGATGACCGGTCCGCCTCTCCGATATGGAACTAACGGTGGATTGCGTCAAATCTGCTCTCAAAGATCCACACCGGGGATGGGGGCCGGCATCCGACCACTGTTTGCTTGTAAGGCATCATATGATGTGTCGATATAACCGACATCCAGAACTGCTTGGTGAGCATCTAGTGCTACGCCAATAAGTTCCAAACACGGCCGCAAAGTCCCCTAAGAGTGTTCATTGTCGGTTCCTCGCGTCGTCGACTCAGATTCATCAGAATTTTCAATTTGAGACGTGTCTGCGCACCGACCATTTCGAGCGGAAATTTCATGAAGGGTGTCGAGCAAGGTTTCCTGTTCGATCCAACGCCGGCTATACACTTCAAATGTCATGTTCTTCTCCACCCTCTTTCGACCCGGTGTTGTTTTCGTTGCGTAGGCCAATTTCGTGGTTCTCAATAAGTCGACGCATCTCTTTCGCTTCTTCATTGGCAAAATCTAACAACTGCCTCGACTCTTATTTAGGTCATCGTCTGTTGTTCTGCCTCGACACATGCTTCGGAGGTGTACTGCGGCGTAGGTCTGCATGGATGTTTTTGATGAAAAGATACTCATGTCAAGGACGGGATCGATGTTTGCGATGATAAGAATGAATGTTACGAATCTATGTTATGGATTTGTCCATGCAAAGATGTGATGACAATTTTATTTGGGAATATACAAATGACAAGTCAACGTCCATATTAAATCACCACGCTGATGGTGTGCGCACCTAGCTCTCCATCTAAGTGCGAGTTCACTCGCACTTGCGGTGTTAACCTTGAGCAATCCACTTCCGTGAGAGTTCACTCGCAGTTTGCTTATATGCCATTCAACAGACACGACCAACAACCTAACCCCAGTTGCGATTGAGCATCAAAGACTGCCCAACAACTGATAACCTGCTCGAAACAGATCCAGGTCCAACAAGAAAGCCCACCACAGACCCACCAACCTAGCCCCAGTTGCGATTGAGCATCAAAGACTGCCCAACAACCGATAATCTGCGGGACCTGGAGTTCAATTTTGTTTGTGGA